GCTCTAGAACGACATTACCATGATTAAAATGGTAATGAAATCCAAAGCGTTGTATTAATCCAATTCAAAAAGTCTTTGGAAAACTATTGTATCGTGTTTGCCGAATGAAATTAGTGTTTGGCGTTTGGTAATATCATCATATTGTTTCGTGAAGTATATAAAGGCAGAGACGGCGAACCCGGGGGGGGGGGGAAGGGTAGGGCACAGTGCCCCCCCCCCCATTTTTTCAAGTACCTCTTAAGTGCTCCTTTCTACAAAGGAAAGGTGCCCCTTTTTTTACTCCAGATTAGTGCCCTTTTTATTTCTAATCGGTGGCTGTTCCACATTCTTATAAGTGCCCCTTACCCCCTACGATAAGTGCCCCATTCACCTCTTATAAGTGTTTCTTCTCGTCTCTGATAAGTGCCCCTTTTTATTTTGACATGTACCCCTATCCTTTGTAATTAGTGCCATGGACCTATGATTAGACCGAGAAATTCGAACACGAATAAGCAGAGGATACGGGTTTGCATTATTAATTTTAATATGGGTTACGGTCTTATTTTGATGTCGTGCTCCTCATCAATATTCTCCATTAACAAAATGAATGAAATTGTATGAAGCTGCATGTTTTATGGCTCTAGAACGACATTATTATGATTAAAATGATAATGAAATGCTAAGCGTTCTATCGATCCAATTCAAAAAGTCTTTGGAAAACTATTGTAAGGTTTCTGCCGAATGAAATTAGTGTTTGGCGTTTGTTAATGTCATCATATTGTTTCGTGAAGTATATAAAGGCAGAGGCGGCGAAGCCGTGGGTGGGGGGCACAGTGCCCACCCCCACTTTTTCAAGTACCAGTGCCCCCTTTTACTTCAGATAAGTGCCCCTTTTTTATTTCTAATAGGTGCCCGTTCCACACTCTTATAAATGCCCCTTACCGCCTACGATATGTGCCCCTTCACCTCTTATAAGTGCCTCTTTTCATCTCCGGTGAGTGCCCGTTTTATTTTGACACGTGCCCCTGTTCTTTCTAGTTAGTGCAATTTCATTTTGATAAGTGCCCCCTTTCCGTTCTGATAACTGCCTTTTCTGGTGAGTGCCCCTTATCAGATGCGAGTAGCGCCCCATTTTCGCCTGTGATCATTCCGATTATTACTTTATACGAGCTTCTTTTCTTTTCTAATAAGTGTCATTTTAACTTTTAACTGGATGTGTGCCCCTTTTCCTGTCACCGTAATATGTGCTACTAATTTAAAGCGACTTTGAGCAGCTTTTTCACGCTCGCTAGCATTTGAAGTTAATAAAAATGTTGTTTCTTATTAAAGATGTTTTTTTAGTCTTTCATGATAAGGAATATTTTGTCCTCTTGATAAGATGCAATTTTCGCACTGCGACCTCACAAATCTTAACTGTTTTGCTCGATTGCTCGCACATGAAATTAATATTCAGACCATCACTCCAAACTGCAAAGAATGATGCTTAAGCAGTATATCTTGGAACATGTAAATAGAGAAACAAACAATAAACTCATCCCTGATAATCCAATCACAATGAAGTCCTACAAATGTCTACAAAATTGATATTTTCGCGACTTAGTTTGCCCATTTTTAATCGCCCTTTTGTGGTGCCCCCCCCCCCTCCCTCCACTTTGAAAGACGCTCTGTCGCCCCTGTATATAGGCTACCTCTAAAACAGTTTTAAAGAGTCAAATTATAAATGATTTTTTTCTTTTTATCAAATAATAATCAAACTATAAAAAAAATAGCACATAAATAACCCCGTTTTGAATTCTTACATTGGATCTCTGCATTAACTGAAGCGATAAAGGAGGTGAAAATTAAATAATATGGTAATTTTTGCATCATTTTCATTTGAAATTGGGCAGTTTCTTTCTGACAAGTTAATGATCAGTTCAGTTGGATCATATTCAAAATCGATACATGGCGTGTTTCATATTAATGTGATTTTATTAAACCAAAGAAAGGAAATGTGACAGAGAGAGGGAGAGTTGAAGAGAAAGAGAGAGAGAGAAAGGGGGAGGGGCGAAGCGTCTCTCCAAAGTTATACTTACATTTAGCCTCATGTATTTATTTCAAAATCGATTTGAGTTGCGAGGCATATTCAATTTGAAAATTCGAATCAGAAATATAATATTCAAATTTGTAAAGGGAATGTCATGGCATCTTAGAGGGTTCAAGAGAGAATTCGTAAATTACGGAATCAACTGTACTACTTCTTCTTCTATTATCATTTTAATGATAATGATAATAATAATAATAATAATAATAATAATAATAATAATAATATGAATATTATTATGACTAGTATTGTTATTAGTATTATTGTTATCATTTAGTATAATTGTTGTTGTTGTTATTATTAACATCATTATCATCTATTGATGGGTTCATGTAGTATTTAACTGATCAGTGAGTGTTTGAGAATTGATACTAATATTTGGTAGGCGAGAATATGCAAATGACTTTAAACTGCACACACACCAGACATAAGACGCAAATACAACCAAATTATTCGAGAACATCTCTTATATTTTGTCTGTTTTCACAATTCTTCCATGATAAATTTGAATACAACACGCGTTACTTTCTGAACAAACTCTTCGACAGTACAATCCAATAAAGTAATTCAACGGTGGCAGCAACTCAATGTTATAATATTTTTGAACGTTTTACAAGCTATACATATAGGACCAAGCAATTTTTACAAGCATGTTTTGTACATACATTTTGATAGTTTTAAAAATCTGACAATATTTACAATAATATCCCAACGTTTTCAAAATGAGTAATTGTCATAACAAAAGTATTACAATGCAATTTAAATTCATCCAATCAATAAACTTCATAAATTTTAATAACGAGTATATTATATTCATATGACATCAGAATGCTAATTATGAATTCATTTTTTCTTCAGATTTTCATTTCATGAATTATTCTGAGTTATTTCACGAGCATTTTAAACTATCGACTTAAAATATTTTCCCACATTGTCCATTGCGGATTTCAATAAATTTCTTGTAGGAACACACATTTTGCGACGAATGCAGAAAATGTATCAACATACGGAAACTTAGCTAAATGTAGTCAAATCTTTACAAGTTTGCTTTCAACATCACAAAAGTAATATCTCAAGTTCTTATAGCACCTGTTATAACAAATATATTTATGTAAGGCTGGATAAGTAAGGGAATGACTAATGTGCATTTTAAGACTATTACATTTTTTAGAAAAGAAGGGAACGGTGTTGGAAAATCTATGGTGAAAAAGTCGGAGAAAAAAAAAACTTCCATCAAGCAACAACAAAAAAGTAATTAAACTTTCTGCTAGCTAACAGGTTTCGGAACAGAACATATTTTGAGTTTTTTAATTGAAAGAGAACATTTCAAATGTTGAATTTTCTATCACACCCCAACAACCCTCTTGCGACGCCCGCTGTCCAGGGTCTGAAATTTACTTCGCAATATTCGTATTGTCTACATACGCTGTTTGGGCAAAGGTTGTTTTAAATACCGAAATTGTTGGGCACACAGAAGTTGGGCTTCATATTTTCCGTAAGAAGAAATGCTTTTACCTTTTTACCCGATAAATGGTTAACGTTATTACAAAATTCAACATATCATGACTAACGCGCCAGACAAGTTGCTAAAAGTTATAGGTTACCTTCATAAAAATATCCCTTTTCTGTTCACTTTTAGACAGTATTTCAAAGAAAGGAAGCATGGACTAGATTTCAACATCCATCACCAAAGGATCAAAGAGGCACAGTGATCGTTGATTAACCTGTTGAGTACTGAATTCTTGCATTCCCATTGGCTTTACACGGGGACCACCCGGTTCCCGTAGGCAATGTGTTAAGTACGATAAGGTTGAGGGTTTGTATTTTTCTTACCAATACCCATAGTTCCCCAAAAATGTCATTAAAAGAAAATTTACCCATGCTTAATACAAACCGACTAATTTTCTGAAAACTAATTACAAACCAAGTATAATGTAGTCTACAAAGATTCTACAAGTGTCATCTTTCCTGCACCATATGCAATAAAATAACGTAGCAATATACTTTATATCACATTATATTTCAGCTGAGAACATTTTCTCGTGACCATATGAACAACTCTGTTTGAATAAGGGTCATTTTGATATACCTTAGTCAAGTCATTGAAGGCAATAAGTAAATTCACTAGTTATAAAACACAATGTTTGCAATGTTCATTTTTACTTTTCGTATTTCACCTTCGTATGGCACGTCAAAGACCGCGCCAGCCGCTACGTTAGGAAATGACACCTAACTTGCAATTGGCAAAACGATTTCTTTTCTGTAAACCTACATCACTAATGATTAAAGGTAATACAAAGTTTTGGGAAATTTTGAAAATTGGGTGGGTTGTGATTCTTTAAAATTTTGATATATTTGGATGCCCCTGTTGATGTATTATGAGCACTTCTGATTTTGAGAGAAATTGAATATAAATATTTACCGGTGCTCCCGGTAAATTTTGATGAATTTCAAATAGCGCCTATACGGCCGTACAATGGTAGCTGCGACCATGAACATCTCAAAATATTAATATCTTGACCTTGAGAGGGAGCTATACAAAATAAAGAGTTTATTCTTAACAATTAAACATTTCATAGACTCGATTTCAAACGAGACAACGATTACTAAATATTATAGGATCGCATATGCTTACAATATGTTTATTTGAACCAAATTCGTGACCCCATACCAAAACTTTGTATTACCTTTAATGGAAATAGGTATTTTGTATTTGTGTGATTCCGTGGATCAGTACAATGCTTAATGTTGACATCATTATTTAGTTCTTACTAAAACACGGTTGCAAAAACTTTTAAAACTTCAACTTCAGGCAATATTGGTTGCCTTGTTCTTAACCGGTTGATGTATTACGTAATCAGAACATGAATTCCATGGGATATCAAAAGAGTATTGAAATGTCCGTAGCTGCTTTTTGACAATCTATGCGATTGTGTTCTGAAATATCTTTCATTTTTTTTCTCATCTAGATCAGCGAAGCCGATGGAGACTTTGGTTTACTCATTTTGTTGATTGTTCGTTCAGACGGGCTCATTGGATAGGGGTTCTCAAAGAATGAACCCGGTACGGTGGGAATGTAATAGTCAAACTCTGGTTCATCTTGAGAGATCGAGAGTGAGAGGTCACTCTGGTGACGCTGGGCGTTTGGTCTCTGTTGCCTGTAAGGGGAAAACCCATAGGGAGGAGTCTCCGGGAGCTGCCGATGGGAGGCTCCCGAACGAGAGCTCTCGGCTCCCGACTGCGGCCGAATCAGACTTTCGTCACTGATAAAGACTTGGGTGAGCTGAGCGCGGTTCTGTTTGCGGTTGAGCGGTCGCGGTAACCGCACGGGGGAAGGTTCGACGGACATCTGACCGCTGTAGTCGGACATAGACGGGAGGTGATCGCTTGGTAAGCTGTAACTAGGTGCGTCTTGCCTCGAGTTCTCCAGCGAGTTCGTTACATGGTTGGCGTACCGGTGGGGATCAGGTCGCGGTGGGATCGCCGGTTTCTCAGCATGCTTTTTGGAGCGTTGTCCATGCCGCGCCGGCACTGGCGGCTTTCGACTTCTATCATGCCGACCGTGTCGATCTAAAGACCCCGATTTGTCACTTCTCAGTGTCGAGCTATGCCCTGAGCCAAGGCCATCTTCTTTTGAAGTTCTATGAGGGGACATTGCACCATTGCGTAGATGATTCGGGTCGTTCTTTCGCGAGCTTGAGCCTTTTGAATGGCTAGATTTTTCGCGTGCCTTTTCGCGAGGCAACGTCTCCGCTCGAATGTCTTCTTCGGCGGGTTGATTTGGCGCCGGTCGCCAGTCCGGCTCGTCGTCCGAGTAAAACGCCATTTTTGGCGCTACTGGAAGCTTTCGCTCATTTTCCGCAGGAGTCACTTCCTCTTGCATTGCTTCTTCTGGGTGCACAACCCCTCTCCGCTTTTTACCGTCGCTATACATCGAATCGGGACTTTTCAAGTCTGATCGATCTTTGTGCCGATGAGTTCTATGATGCTTACGTTCTTTGTGTTCTTTCTTTTCCTCATCGGGGTTTTCGGCCCCTTCTGGTATTCTAAACGCCATACCATTATCGTTAAATTTCGACACTGCTAGACCCAGTGGCGTAAGCTGTCCATCTTTGTTCACGTAAGGGGACGTATTGTCAGTATTCTCGACTTTCGCTACTGCCTGCACCTGGGGAGTGCTGTGCGACGTTTCTTGAAATTGATTTCTCTTTGAGCTGGACATACTAGTCCTACTGTCGTGTATTCCTGTCATTGCAAATTCCTGTGGGGATTTCATAGTAAGGTGTGTTGTATTACGATCTGTCCTTCCACTGTGTTTACTGGTGGAGAGTTCGCCGGCAGATCCTCGACTGACATCCCCAGCGTGGTAAGGTACAGCGATCTTATGCCCATGTCGCTTGGTCCATTTCTCAAGCTCAGCCTCGTGGTAGGGGCTGGGTATACTTGGTAACTTCTCTTTGGTTGAGCGGTGGGACGATGATAAGCTCGCTTCGTTGTAATACTTCGAGCTCTCGTCATGCACCACGTAGAGTTGGCTCCGATCCCCATCCGGCCATCCACGCTTGCTGGTGCTCTGATTAGACTGTTCCGACTGCGACGTCGTGCTACGTCCAATCGGAGCCGCTCCCCACGGTCGGCTATGGTGCGTCGATGACGAGTTGACACTTGATGTCCCCATGCCCATGCCTCGGAGCTGCGTCTCTGCGGTGTCGTCATGCGGCATGCCCGGCTTGTAGTCGTATTTCCGGCTGCATCGGGCATGCACGGCGAAGACAATGCTGAACAGGACGACGAGAACGCCCAGTACGATGCCGGCGATCAGGATAGCCGTGTTGTTCAGCTCACCAACGTCGACTGGGGACTCGTTTGTGTTGCCCACGGGTAGAGGAGGAGGAGGTACCACATCAGAGGCTACAATGATAAAATAGAACAAAAACGTGATAAAAATTCAAAGGTTAGTAAAAGCCATCGCAAAGTAGATAAAGTACAGGTCATTAGTTTTCATTTCCATGTAGTAATCTGTCATTCACCCATATTGTATTGCAAACTTTCCCCGTTCTTATAAACCCCTATATTTTCTGTCCGGCATGCAAACTTCTTTTTCCCCTACTCTTAATCTCAATTGGTACTCAATTCAGTAATCTTTCCTACACTTTGGTTCGATGTTTAAAAAAACATTTACCTTAAATTTCACGGCATAATGGGAAAGTAGAAATGGGGTCACAAAATAAAATATGAAATCCTTCAAAGAAGTCATCGTGACACGGCTAAGACTGTATAACCAAAAACAGATATCACAATTACTTCCTGGCAATACGGATTTTTTCTTCTTCTTCAATTCAAAATAGACGAACAGGAACGGGAGAACATTCTGGGTAAAAGGACGATGTATTCAAAGGGCTGCGACGTCATCAAATAATGGATGGGTTCTTCAGGTACATTAGCATGAGTGACGAGCGAAAGCAGCTAATAACATTTTTACCTACAAATAGCAACCACTCGAGGAAAAACATAGGTCTATAGTAGTATTAATTTCATACCAATTGGTTTTCCATGAGCTTTGATTTAATCTTAATTATTATAATGGAGGAAAATCATATCCATTCGATTATAGTATCATCTAGCGGCAGGTTGACTCCTATAAGTCTTGAAATGGAACAAGTGTGGTGCAAGTTATGATTCTCGCTTACTATAGCCTTGGTCTGAATCTGCAAATTGAAAAGAAATGTTTTACAATGAGACCCTCTACCACCCAACCGTGAATCATGGGATCCACAGCCCGACGACGTAGCCACTAGACCGCGACACCTCTTCCCCGGTTAAAAATCATTAAACATAATTCGCGGAACATTCTTGGTTCTGAGGTAGGAAGGGGTACCTTATCCCATGGGGCAAGATAGTCAAAACCGACATTATTTCGCCCAGGTACAACGCCTTCGGCCCTCTCCAGGCTCATTCAGTGGGAGGAGTTGTAGGAGCATTTTATTCTCTCATTTCTCGCTCTCCCAAGGCCCCGAAAGGTAGTTGGAAGTTTTCTATGCCCCCTTTTTCGATGGGGTAGGGGAGGGGGTATTTTGTCCTTAGCCTATGTTTACCCCCCCCCCCTCCTCTCCCCCTCTTCATCCCTTTTCACAGTAGGGGAATGATGCACCATCTGTCTCTGTTTATAGCCAACTGTCTACTAGTTTATGATTGTTTCCATGATTTATGAGAGAATGTTAGCTCGGTTGTCACTCCATGATTTATTCCTTAGGACTTACGAACGTTACTATAATTAGCTTAGAGCGTAACACTATGTTCAGTATTTGATTGGGATGTGTTTATCATTGCCATTCAACTTGATGATTCTGTATAATACCAAGAAGTTACTTCTTGATAATACATGGTACACTCTTTGTGATTTAGCTCGTACGTAGAGCTGAGGATTGGCTAAGATACTATTAATATTAGTTTATTTATATTATTAATACTAGTAGTATTATCATTATTATCATTATTATCATTATTATTATTATCATTATTATTATCATCATCATTTTTAGTAATAGTAGTATCTTGCATTAATTATGATGATGATGATGATGATTATTATTATTATTATCAATATTATCATTATCATCATTATTATTGTTATAATGTAGATTTTCATTTATTTATTTATTTTAACATCATCTTTAATTTATTCATTTTTTCGGCAAATCAATAAGACAGTGAAGACAGTGAATAAAAAAAACAGAAAAGTAAGATGTGAGTCACATGGATACCGGGAAAAGAAAAGAAAAAACTTAATAACTATAACCTGATGGTCCTCTTCTTGTAAAAAAGAAATTCAAAACGAAAATACAAAAAAAAACACAACTGAGAGAAGCGAATTTCTAATTTCAAATACGATTATCTATTTAACTTTCGTTCCTGTATGTAACGTCAAATAATCTAATTCATAAATAAACTTATAAATAAATACCAATGTAGCAATATTGAACAAACGATATATCCTGTGCTGAGAGCTGAGGGGTATAAATTAGTGGTGTTTAAAACAGAGGTAACACCCTTGTGACATCTATCATAGTATAGTATCTTTCCTAGATTTTCGCAAATAGAAGTATGTTGAAAATTCATAATTCTTCCGGCATTAGACAAATGTTGTCTATGCACTTTATCTTGAATATGAAATAAACCTCGAAGAGTGTTCTAACATTATTCTCTTTCTCTTTCTCTATTCCTCTTATTCTTCGACCCCATTTGTTCTGAGTTCACTATTTTTTCTCTCCAAAGTGCGTCTTCGAAATCTGACATTGATTGTACTTTTTTGGCAAAGATGTCAGATCGTTTAAGGAATCGGCGTATTAAAAGTTTTGTATTTCGTCAGTGGAGAGCCGTTAACGATCATGACACTCGCGGGAAATTCATACATCGATGTTTTGTTTCAAAACACTTCTCATCATCTCGAAACAATAAACTGAACAAAAAGTCAGAATTGTCTGTGAAATGAAAGAACAGCTGAAAAGCGTTTTTGTTTTATGAATGTGGTAATTGAAGACTACAGATTAAGAAAACATTTACCCAACGTCTTTACAATAAGGGTGATACCTAAATTAGAATTCAAGGCTAAAACAATGCACCTCAACTTAACCCCAATATCAATTTGAACAAAATGTCAGAATTGTCTGTCGGTGATCGTAATCGCAAAGAAACAGCTGAACATAATTGGTTGATGACGAGGGTAATTGAAGAGCACAGATTAAGCAAACATTTTATTCACTGCCTTTACAACAAGGGCAATGCCTAATGTAGGATTCAAGGCTAAAACAATTCATCTTTCTAAAATGATTTCAGAGAAAGCCATTAGCATGGGAAAGCCCTATCGGAGGATCGTAGGGGTAATTGGTGTCACGACCCGAGTTCGCGGTAGGGTATCAGCAACTGAAGGTCGGCATGACAACGTTTGAACGCGTTGCCATGGGGATGCCGGTACTAACTACATGTGCTGGTTTGTGTACTGCGGCTGCACGCACTATCGAAGGATTGTATTACATGTTTTACGCTGTCACGAATGCTAACGAACTTGGAACTTTACACCCTCATGAGCAACCGAGAGTGTGCACTCTGTATTTGTTTGTAAGGAACCTCTCTTCCCTTTTATCATTTATAAATTATATAGATATATAACATAAATATAATTACACAGGGTAGATGGTATTTGCTGTTTATATTATATTCAGATATTCATTTGTACCCGACTCTGTTCATAAATTCAATTTACAGGTTAAACGATAAACTTCTGCGTCGGAAATTAATTAATACTGAAACTATTATGATTTGAAATACCAATGACCAAGGCTTAATTTTGAAACTCATAATTTGAAGTACCAATGACCATTGTTGTCGCTTCATTATCTTTTGCATGTATTTGTTCCTTATTGCATCTATTTCATTCTATACACGTGATGTATTTATTTCTTGTAATTATATATTTTCTTGAATATTACTGTAACGCCAGTGTAACGCCAAATAAAATATCTTGTATCTTGTATATTCATATGCTTCTGAATTATATCATTCTTTTCGCATCGTAATATCTGTAAATCAATAGTGATGTCCACTTCAATTGTATTTAAATCTTTGTTATATCGAGGGATAAATGTTTCAAAGGCTTCTTAAAACATTCTTCTGACACCACTGCAATGGAAATAATCTTTCTATCATTAAAAAGGGCTTCTTATTTTTGCCTCTATTGCTAATTCAGTGTGCATCTATACATTTCTATCTCCCTTCTCGCTCTCTCAAGTTGGTAAACCTGATGTTAATGGTTTCAGATTTTCCCAGCAAGTTGAAGGTTTAATCGCTTAAGATATTACTTATCTTAACATCCACAACTCTGGTGAATAAATCTGTTGCCCAGTCAGTCAATCTCACAAAAGTATTTACCACAGCCTGATGGCACAAATAAGACATATGAAGAGGTCCTGAGGATATCTAGTTCAACGTTCCCTTCCCACTCACCTTGCGAGTTGAATACAGCACTGAAGCCCATTTGGTCCAAGTTGCCCCCTCTCACCACCCTGTACTCGATATACATGGTGTTACCACTGGTAGACACGGGTCCAGGTAGAGCCACGCCCGTGTGGTACGCGAGGAGCGGGGAATCCCCATCCTCCCCATCGCGCACGCGCAGATACTCTCTATGGATAGCGAGGTAGAAGGAGACAAACTCGAGGCGTATGCTGTGGTTGTCCGGTGCGATGATGACCCATTTAAAGAGGTTGCGGTTCTCGCAGAATAAGGGGTTGGATAGGATACTACCCTCTTCGGTAGTCAGGGTGCAACCGCAATAGCAGGTGGGTCCGAGAGAGTTGGGTGTAACAAGAACAGGCTCTGAAAAAAGTGAGAACAGTATTTTTTTTCTTCATTACAATGCTTGATCCATGATCGAATGACAAGTCGTCATTTTGTAAATTTGTAGAAAGTCACTTTCTTTGATTTTAGCGAGCAAAGTTTGAAACATTATTATAATACCTATGTATAGTACAAAAATATACTACATAAGATGATTATGAATATTACAAATATCACAAATAAGCCAATTCGCTACCTGAAAAAAGTAACCTTTGTTCTAGTAATGAAACCCCCAGTCCTTGCCCGCGCCTCTCACATCTATGCTATTAAACTGTGTATAATCAATGGTTGCATTCAGAGAGGATTTCAATATTCTAACCAAATTATGTGGAACAGGTGCATCTCTACCGTTAACTACAATTTACAAATATTCGCTTAGCGCGCATACCTGTCAAGCAGAGCTCCAAGAAGCACATCTCGGTCATGAGAAGGTTGCCGGAGCATTCGGCCCCGCCGTTCGCCGGTGACGGGTCGGTGCACGATCGTGATCGATGACGTACTCCTTGCCCGCAGGTCGCTGTGCACGAACCCCACTGAGACCACTCACTCCAACGCCCGTCCACCGGCTCACCTAAACATACGGCAGGAAACAGAGAGAGTTAATGAAGATAAAAGACAAGGACTATGATGAGGATCGTTCGTTCGTGTCTCCTTAGATCAAGGTAAATATATCTTTATCTTCGGAGTAGTTGCTACAACCGGGGTGCGAGATAGGACTCTTGTAGAGTGCCCCCACTTAACACAATTATACAATAACAATTAACATTACATTTGATGATGAGGATGATGATGACGTACCATGCCAATTTTTTGGCAACCTGTCTCGGGTACGCCTCGGGGGAGGTACTAGTATTGAGGTGTAAAAGGGCCATAATAATCTAATGTAATCTGGAACTATATTGGTCGATACTAATTGTAAAAATGAACCCATTTCAATGACTGGAAACCATATGGCGCTGTTACTGCCGCTGTTTCCTGAGTGCCAGGGAAAGGTAGCAAATGTCATTACTGAAACTTACGTTTTCCGCTATCGACAATATTTGGTCTTTATTAGAATCATTGCTAAAGAATGGAAGGTCACGACGTTTTCCCAGGACAAAGTTCGGAACAATGATAGCTATCCTAAATATTGGTAACATCGATTGATCAGAAAACAATCTGCTTCGCATAGCCAGTGCCGGAAATTTTATGTTTGAGTGAGTGTATTCATGGATCGACTGGTATCTAGATACATACCTTCATATTCCAGAGGTATGCAGACCGTTGCCTGGTCATCGACAGCGCCTGACCTTGCTAAGCTGATATACCGGAAGCAGAACCCTGAATAGAGTTCGCTGAACTCGCTGCAGAAAAATTGTAAGCTTTCATCGGGATTGAAAATGCGCTTCTCCATGATGTGTACAAGGCTTGACGGAGAGGGCGTGTAAGAAAAGGATTCGGTCTGCCCCAGGACTCTCACGGTGTCGTCATCGTTGGCACAAGGTGGTTGGGTGACACGAACGAGGATCGGATTTATTCGGCCGGCTCCGGAACAGTTCGGATAGATTCCCCGCGTCGACACGCTCACACCGTAATTTTCATTCCGCGTCACTTCGAAGACGCTGCTTCTTTCGACAGTGTCTTGATCAAAATCGGACTGAAGAAGCACCGTGTAGAGCCCGGCACGATCCGCCGAACGACACCCAAAATCTACAGTGATGACGTCATTTAGCGTGAGTTCACCGACGGGAAACGAATCCGCCACCACGCCGTGTCCATCGGGGAAGGCGTGCTGCACATTCGATGGTAAATTCTTCCCATGATACACCAGCAGCATATCGATAACATAGCGGTTATGCCTCATATTTATGCACAGATTCGAAGTCACTACAGCTTCCACTTGAAACTCCCTTGTTGACGCTACCAGATCTGTGGGGACACTGATTTCAACGTCGGGCCATACTACATCTATGATATTACTATACGCGAGGATTTCACTCCTGTTTCTTGTAGATTGCATCTGAAATTGAAAAGTCCCTGCATGGTCAAAGTAGCTACACTCAAAGGTTACATCCCCGGTGAGTGACAATGGAACGGATGTACTCTTCCGCAGGGCATTGTTGCTCAGGTCGATCAGTAGGACGTTCGGAGGGTAGGATAGTCCTATACCTGGCATGGTGAAGGACACTCGAACGTTCCCGGAAAGCGCAACGTGATTGGTCGGAGCCTGGAGGCTGTACTGGCCACTGACCAATCGTAAGACTGCATGAATTAGAAGAAGAAAAATAAATGATATGAATGTGTTATTCAATCGGACGTAAAATGTTTCTTTTAAGAAGTTTTTGAACATTCAAAAGAAAGTTCCGGTATACTACAGCTACAGTTTGACTAAAAAAAGAAGAAGAAGAAAGTGATAACGAATAAATAAAACAACGCAACGTTGTATTACTGCCATGCAGGATGCATACCAAATAATATATATACATTTTTTAATGGTAATATATTCGTTCGTTCACTTCATCAAAAGCGTTGCACCGATTTCAAGTTCTTCACTGAATTAACATGTTTTCATTTAGTCGATTCTAATTATTATAGATAATGACAAAGAATAGCCAATACAAATTTGTACCAATAAACCACATATTCAAAAAGGCATTATCTTCTTATGTAAATCCTTTGGTAAATACATTAGTAGAAAAGTGAGGAAACTCGAACCCCTTGAGCCCCGTTTTCCACGGGCCATAAAGGCAAATTACTATTCTCTTTAACTTAGTTCCCCGTACACTCCAAACCCTCGATACACAAAATACTAGACTTTGGTTCGTGCAAGAACCGTGTTTTTGGATTAATCCAGAGTCGGACATGCGATCCGACTCGCCGCAAAGACTCTAAATCCAGTTCGTGTTGTTTGGGATCACGAACCCTTGGACCGCTGGTCAATTCATTATCGATCGTTCTAGGGATAAACTTGAAGGGTTACCAGGTGCATTTCCACTTCCTCTCTCAAGAAACTCCCATATTTCATTTCATGAAAGAGGAGTATCGTGGGCATAGAGTACGACGTCGATCGAGATCGTGAACGAATTCTTTCTTTAATGACACCATCTGCTTGATGATAATGTGTCAAGGAACGCTGGAAGGCACTTTCGCCATAGAGGATTACATGATTCCATGATTGGAAGGTGAACATGACGCAGGTTTCCTGGAATAAGGCATAAAGTAACTCCTAAAATCCTTATGTGTATATTCAACTATTTCACGATAAACACAATTATTAATGTGCGAACCTACACCTAACAAGCATTGCTTTCAAGTAGGTTCGTTTTTTTCGTTTTCTGTAACTAAATCATTTTGCATTACAATGACCAAAAACAATGTCAAAGATATTTCAATGCTCACTTCAGTTATATCATTACGTTTATTATTGTTTGTCATTGTTTATATTATGTGAAAAGAAATGAAAAATGAATTCGCTCTGTATAGAGCTACTACTACTACTACTACTACCTTTCCTATGCCTCAGCCAAAAATAGGAAGCAGCGCATTCGTTATACACAGTTAAAAATTTTGTGAACAAGTTGTTTAAAAGTTTAAACAACTCTTGATTAACGGGTGACCTGATCTGAAAGTTGTTTAAAATGTTAAGCATCTCGAGTTGTTTAAAGTTTAAACACTTAGTTGATCAACATTTTGAACAACTTGTTTAAAATCACAATTTAAACAACTGGTGTTGTTTAAAGACGGTTGTTTAAAATGGAGCTGTTGTTCAGTGGGGGTTGTTTACACCAACTGGGTTGTTTAAAGAAAGTTGTTTAAAAAGGAGCTGTTGTTCAGTGGGGGTTGTTTACACCAACTGGGTTGTTTAAAGAAAGTTGTTTAAAAAGGAGCTGTTGTTCAGTGGGGGTTGTTTACACCAACTGGGTTGTTTAAAGAAAGTTGTTTAAAAAGGAGCTGTTGTTCAGTGGGGGTTGTTTACAACAAAAGGGTTGTATAATGGCGTATAATTTGGGTTTGATACTCTGAATAAGTGCACCACTACTTCTGGGTCTCTATATTATAGGTATATGAAGACTAACAATATGGTAGGGTAATTCTGCAATTCATGAATTAGCGCCAAAACAGTGCCCATTTTGCATGAGCGCGCACGTATATTATAGGGATGCATGCAATCTCTATGGCAAAGAATTTAGCACACGTTATAACCGAGTGCGCGATCAGTGCCGCACTGCATGACGCGACGATTTTAAGTCTACCTATATTCTGACATTTGCGTACAGATACTGAAAATTTTAACTGTGAACTTACGCTATAAGTTAAAAACTTCAAATTGGTTAATAGAAAAGTGATTTCAATTAAGCCATTGAATCCCCAGTCACTTAGAAGCGCGTCGGTAGCTTGGTCGGCCATGATGTGTGTTGTGTTGTGGGTTGGAAAGTAATAACTATTAAGCTAAATAAATGTAAGTATAGAGACAAACAAAATGGAGCCTGCAGAAACACGTGTGGTTGCTTTGGTAGTTTAATCCAGACCCAATATCCATGTGCTTTTACATATGTATCAATCTGTGTAGTCAACAGAAGACCCTTGCATACACTTGCATTGTGTGTATGCATCTAATATGAATAACAATGAGCTGTGCCTAAACAGCTGCACTGCATTTCTAAGTGGCATGTTAATTTCAATTGCATTTTAGTTTCAAGGAACCTGTTTCTAAACATAACAATATGAAATAAAGCTTTTAGCAAACGCGCACTTTACTGGCACGAGACACATGACGTCATATGTAAACAACACTGTCTAAAAGCTCTCGTATAGTAAATATAGCAGTCATTAAATTTTAAACAGCTAATGTTTAACAAAATTACTTTCGTTTCGAGCAACATTGTTTACAATTTGTTCAACTGTTGTTTAAGATAGTGTACAACTGTAAGTGAACATCACTTTTTTAAGCAGCGTTTTTACTGTGTAACATTTTGTTACAAGTCGTTGGGGGTTCAGACAATTTTGAAAACGTTAGGGGAGTAGCTCGATATATCATACGTCGAAATTTGCCTCCAAACCACTATTCATTCATCAAAAGAAAGAAAACGTTCGTGTGAACGTGCTCTTACCCCGCTACCCGTTCAAGTTCAAATCTAGACAAAAAAAGGGGGAACCCGGTTGATTGAAAAGGACGAAAGGGGTTTTTTGGCATTGGCTTAGGGGGGTAGAAGGTTGAAACGAGAGACGGGTGAAGGGCGAGACAAGATCGCTACTTTATACGGCGAACTCTGTGTGAGGGAGAAATTGCAGGATTATGGACACAAAAATGAGAAGAGAATCCAGTAAACCTAAAGTTCAATATTGCCCTACAGGATCGATACAACAAGAGAAGCAGGAAAACGGGACAAAAAGAAAGCGTAACGGTCGATAACAGTATGGCAGAATGTTCGAAGCATGACTGGGTAAGGGCATGCAGCTCTATACTTGCAAATGCTTTAAAAGTTTCATAATATTGTTTGTAACCCCATGAGAGAATACAATATTTTAGGATCGTGAACACAGATGCTTGATATTCGTCAGCTGTCATCAAATTTGATTGCAAAGCATTGCGAGTTGATTTAGTTTGGAAGATACATGGTAGGAGAGATTTAACAACCTTAATCTATGTATTTTGTTGAATTAAAATGCTCGTGGGTTAAACCTTGGTCTATTTTCTAGATGAACAAAATATGCAAGAGAGGGGGAAAAGTCCTTGGAAGGGGTTTTCGTCACCTCCTATTCATGTCATTTTGTCCCTCTATCCCTTCCTTTCTCCCTCTTCTTTCTGTTCGTTTTTCTTTCTATTCACTTTTCTTTGTACCCGTCCGCCCCTCATACGCCAATGCCTGAATATACCAATAATGCTGGAATGCAAGATGCGGTATGTTCGCGTGTCATAACTCTCCCAGGAGTCCAGGACAGACGCCTATCATGACCACTGTAAAAACATGAATGATGATAGTGTCATCATTATCATCCTCCGTGTTCACGTCCGACTGTCATGGGGATCATCCAAACAGTGTTATTGAACAGTGGATTGGTATTGTTGTATTTCAAATGACCCTGTCTGAATTTTTACTAATATTAATAAATTTTCCAATTAGAAAAACAGTATTACATCTGATACTTGTTACTAATCTCAGAATTATATATCAATTAATTACGGTTTTTCTTGTTAAGTCTATGTTTTTTTCCTATGCGACATTGGTTCAACACCCCACGGGTCCGACTAATCCCAAATCAAACGTAACTTAATACCAATCCTGATGTTATCCCTTATCTTATTCCACCACCACGGGAGAACCCCCTAAATCAAGGGGGGAATCCCACTGTTGTCTACATGCTGCTGAGCTGATGGAAACCCTGATGCTAACCCTAATAGGACTCAGGACAATTTGGATAAAGAACTGTGGGATATAGAACTAATGGGGCATATGCAGGACTTTAGAGACGCATCTACATGTAACATGACTTTGTATATACAAATAGTTATATCGTTTTTCTTTTTGGGGATTATGTTGCGACATGAATACATTTCTACTTCATTTGAGGCCTATTCAGGGGTGATAGTGACCACTAAAAAAATAATAGGTTTTTGTTTTCCCCTCAACCACGCCCCCCTTGAGTAAAAAAAAAAGAAGAGGATTCGCGGGGAAAAAATGGCATCTAACAACATTCCCCCCTTTCAAGTAAGAAAATTGGGGAAAAAATAGGGCAAAATAGGAAAGAATAGAGAAAATAACGGGGGAATCGGGAAAATTAGGATAAAATAGGGAAGACAAAAAAATCTGGTAAAAAAAAAAGAAAAAAAAAAAAAAGAAAAAAAATCGGGAAAACCGATTTAAATCGGGTTTTTATCAGGTCACCAAAACACAAGCTTGGGTTTCTATGTTAGTACGTCAAATTAGAAAATAACTTAAACAAGTTAATTTCATTGTATTATAAAATATTTTTTTCTCTCGAAGAGGTATATGTCGTTGATACCTCATGTCTGAACACGCCTCATGGGGCTACATCAGCTGTCGTACTTGGCTGATGATAGAGATAAACAAGAACGGGTTATGTTTGCGTGACGGTTTTTGGCTGGGCCCAGATACCAAGCATTTTCCGATGAAAACACAACACCGCACAGGGAAGCAGCGCAGCGTTGGCATCTCCTCAAGTTTTTGATTAATTGCATTGTCACAACAAATCTGAAATTGATTTTGGTATCGTCTTGTGAAGCTGGTTATGAAGTGATCTTACTTTTGTCGTTTCACTGTGCTTTATTCCACTTGCCACTTGCCTTTAATACAGTGGCGAAGCTGCAGGGTGTATAGAGGCACTAGCCCTATATTCGGTCGACGACAAAGAAGATAAAAGAGAAAGAGATCAAAGGAAAGGGGTAGGGAGAAGGCAACGTAAAAACAGGGTGATACGACCCTCCCTAATACTTCCCTCACGCAATGGTCCTGTTCACTCACATTTAAAAAACCGGTGCCGACCCCCTCCCTTATCGCTATGAAACCAGTGCCCCTCCCCCATCAGTGGCTTGACCCACACTACATCACTGCTGTAAATGATTTCATAGACACACGATGATCATTTCCCTCCGTCTTTTTCTTTTCTCTTTAAGTCAGTCTTACTCGGATATCTGTCCATCACTCCATCCAAATCCATCGAATTGTCAACTGCCAACACGCAATAAATGCAGCTATTTTTGTACTGTCATTAATCTTTAGTTAGGTCTATCTATCTGTCACTAAAAATCAATTTCCCTTATACGATTTTTCAAAATTCAATACCTTTTCTTGCCAGGGAATTCTTTAAATATAAACTTGGACCAACTTGCTCGGAGAATATCAACATATTTCCACCGTTTCGTCAATAGTTTGAAGTTTGAAATATATTTGTTGAACATTTACATCCAAAGCAAATTCAGATTCATACGCCCCCCCCCCCCCCCCTCTCGCAGTGGCGCTGACACAACCCCCGTGTCGTGACCCTCCAGAAAATTCGTGCAACTTACAGTGGGTCCATGCCACGCGGGGCCGCATAGATGAAATCTTCTCCCCAGGTACGTGAAAGATTCTGTCCGCACCCCTTATTGACAGCAATATGTCATCATGTCAGACTTACAAGCAAGAGCTCTTACAGATATAATTTATATTGCAAGTTTTCGCAATGCATTGAATGTAAAAAGTCATTAACAGTGTTCATACAATAGCCCTTCTCAGTACACACGCCCGTTGTATATGATGCGTCATTTAGCTGACGCTTTTGACGCACCATAAGAAAGCGTAACATCATACAATTTTTAATAGTAGTATTCATAACAATGTCCTGTCTAAGTGGTATTGTCTGTAGCATATACGAGGTGTCAATTTAGCTGATTTTAGATCGCGTCAGCAACTGGCGCGGCTTTTGACGCACCATGAAAGGGTGGCATCGTAGAAAAAAATGAATGCATAATAGACAGTGTAAACAATGCGTTGATTTAATTACATCTGGGCCCCGGTGCACAAAACTTACCATTGATGGTAACTTTGCCATCATTGGTAACTACCATGGAAACCTTGATTTTGGTTGGCTGTTGAGCCTTGTTACCATGGTAGTTGCCATTGATGTCAAGGTTACCATCAATGGTAAGTTTTATGCAACAGGGCCATGCCGCCATGGACCCATATCATCTCGGATTCATGATTAGCGTAGGTAATGACGTAATTGAAATGACACCTCGTAAACATCAGGCAGAACTGCCAGCTCTTACGCGTCAGCCAGATCTATATTCATCTAGTTAAAACGGCTACACAATTCTCACTTGAATTTGAGTTTATCGTCAAGTTATCATGTATATCAATTATCAGCTTAATGCACGAACATACTTATGCCACTTGTTTATCTTGTATTGCGTTCCCAAGCACGTAGTTCAAAGCGGTGTCAATATTTAGAGATTAAGATGAGGTCATCCATTAAATATTTGAATACCTAATTATCTAAGTGATAAGGAGCTTACGTGAGGGCGGAGATTCGAGGCACGTATTAAATCGCACGTGTTCACCCGATATCTCGAAGAGACGAGCACAGTTTACGATATGTGAATTTGTTTAACCAACTTGAGACTTCTGTTACTGAAATAATGGATATGAATTATACAGATTACGAATTTCGCTATAATCTCTGTGTTGAACTAATACAAACATTTTTAGCTTTTAGGTTCCCACGATGATTTAACCATGTAAATGAAAAAGCTCTGACTATTTCAGGAAAGTAAAATTTAAGTTTGCACATAATTTATTTTAAGCGTGACGATATTCAAGAAGTAACATACATGTATTATCAAAATAGCGATGCTAAATGATTCACATATAGATCTAAAAGTTTACTGACCTGGATAAATCAAGCTAGACATTACACAACGAAAATGTTACACACCCAATGGCCCAAATTCACAAAGAATGTATGCCAACAAACCTTTGTTTTCGTGCGTCATAATGACGCGTTTCGACGCTTTTTTACAAACCAGGTTTGTAAAAAAACCGCGTCAAAACGCGTCATATGACGTATATAAACCTTGGTTTGTCGACTAACCTCCTTTGTAAATTCGGGCCTAAGAGTATGAGTGTTCATTTACGTGGGTAATTCACATTATAAGCACGCTTTTTAGCCAACGTATTTCAGACTCTGTATCTTTGCAATGACGAACCTTCGTCATTGCCTTGTTTTCGTTCACATTCTGCCCCATTAATATTTTCCTTTTCGTCCTGAAATCCCATTCGTTTTACACGTAGTGCTTGTCATCACTAATTATGCCCTTTTCTCATGTCCGTTTCCTTTCAAATTTCATAGGCATAGTCTCTAACATCTCATCAAGGTCACTACATTCTTCGATTTTCGAAATCACTCATGCATAACCGTCCAGGCGCCATTTTGTCCGTTTCTGGTCCATTTTAAGGCCTTTCTTTCTTCCTTCCCATCTCCACTATCTTAGATCCTACAAACTTCTAACAAATTCCTCTAGATAGTCTAAGAGATGTTCTTTTATCTGCGACGTATAACCTGACCTTCAAAATGCCATCTTCGTACTCAAAATGCAAATCTGAAACCGACTCCGTCAAAAATCTCTCAAGTTCTTGAAAAATTGACCCCTAAATAATCTAAAACTGCCATAACTTTCTCATATGAATTCCGTTTTGTATTTAAATCTCACAGTATCTTTATCTCATGATTGCACATCGCCATGCCAAATTTCACGCTACATTGGCTTTGCAAAACATAAATAGCGCCCTCTAAAGTTCTGGGAATTGGCTGTCTTTCTGTGGCCGTATTTCCATTATGGCTTGGCAGACCCGTACCCTTTTTTGGATTTAGATACTTGAAGATATGCCCTTTCCAGCCATATACAACATTATATACCCTAACACTGACCGACTTTGAGAAAAATGCCCTCCAAATTCGCCATTTTCAAGAAAATTCCAAAATAACTTCAACTTGCTCTAAAATGGCGATCTTTATACCTACATCAATGAAACTTGGCACACATATGTATCCATATACGTGACAACTGTCTGCCAAGTTAAATAAATTGTAATGCCCTCGTTGCAAAGTAAACGCCAAAAATGATGAATTTGCTATGCATTACGTAATAGCGCCTTTAATGCGTGTAGTACATTGCGTGCAGATGACAATGGTGTCAAACTGACCGCAATGAAGTGCCCTTTCGAATGATACCAAGTATGGTATATGTTTACACAGAAAATTGTGAGTAAATCGCATTTGAACAAGGGTCGATCACTATACGAATTCCGCCCGATTATAACACTTATCGGCCATGACGTCATTTTTTCAGACTACTTTTCGCCCCCTAAACATCTTTTTTTTTCCTTGAAAATTTGCAATGACATTCCGAGATGCAATACGCAGGGCACCTCGTGGCCGGATTTTTTGAAATTGGTCAAGGGGGCCATTTAAGACGCCATTTTGTCCTTTAAATCTATTTTACATCACATGTTTCGATAGGATTATCATAGAAAAAAAAAGAGTAGTTTACAATAACGACCATGAAATTCTCTTTCCAATGATACCATATACGGCCCATAAAGAGACATAAAGAGAGAGAGAGAAAAAACAATTTAACTCCGGTCATAATACAGATCCTGTATGTTTTCCGCCCATGCATTACACGCATTGTCTATGGGGCAAATCGGGTTCACGCTTTTGACCCCTAGAACGATCTTGATTGCAATGACGCCGCATGCAACTAATCCCATTTGTTTTTGCACGCGGTGCTTGCGAGCCCTTTCTAGGTTCTTTCCCCTATCCCAATTTCTTTCAAACATCGTAGGCATAGTCACTACCATCCCATCAAGGTCACTGTTGAGGCCTTTCTTTCGCCCTACCTGTCTCCAATATTACAGAAGCTAAAGACTTCGTACAAATTGCTCTGGATAGTCCGAGAGAAGCTCTTTCGTTCGACACGTAGAAACACGGCGTCATTGCACGCACATCGTTGTTACACGATTGCATTTCTAGTTTATATTCATTTTGTACATGCTTATATTTATTTTTATTAATGACAAGATTAAATTCATTGCAGGCAATTAAGTTCATTTTTTGAATAATTATGATAAAGTTAATTTCCTCGTGTCTGAGAAATGAGTTTCATGGCTTCCGATTAAAAAAAAAAATCAATATTGATGTGATATTGTCACTAGTTTAACCTCCACAGGAATAAAGTTTGCATATATCATCTTGTTCAGACTGCACCCAGACAAGATATCCGACATCAGTGGTATAGCATGTGTCCAATTACTGAGGGCACTTTTGTCATGGGGGAGGGGCGGAACCGGACTTACCAGGTGGGTGAAATACAAGAGAGAAGGGCTATCCGGGAATGGGAGGATGTGTGAGAGGGAGTCGTTTTTTCGGAGAGGGGGGGGGGGGGGGGGGGGTGGGGGGAAGCGGTAGACCCCTGACACCCTGTACCTACGCCATCGACTACGATTATATATCACGGTCGTTACCTGCTAATATAATGAAGGCAACGACGTCGAGGGCGATCCATGATGGCTCTTTCAACATTTTCCTGGCTGTAATCATTGAAGGGGGATGTCGTCATCAGCTGGACCGTCTATGAAGATCGATTAGGAAATCAGTGACCGTTTCGTTTCTCTGCAGCATTCTACAAGAAGAAGAAGGACATAAGAGAAATGAATAAGTAATGAATAACGAAATACTTATGTATGGTTCATGTACATCATCATCATCAGCAGCATCTGCGGTCGTAGCCACTAAAAGAAAGGTTTTCCATTTGTATTTGAATCTCAAATGGTGCGAATTCATATCGTGCACAAGAAGAGTGCAGCATTTTTCCTCAAGAGGTGCAAATTTGTACTCTGTATGAGACAATGTAAATTTGAACTACAAGAGCTGCAACTGTGCACTATGGTACAATGTACAGTATTGAACCTGAGGAGGGGCAAATTTGCACCCTGCATGAGAAGGGTGCAGCATTGAACCTTACCGATGTACAGTTGTGCGCCGAGGACGAGAAGGGTGGGCAATATTGAAGGAGTGGAAATTCGCCGTTGCTTTTTAAAAATCATTACTCACCATTACGATTCCTACACAAATTGTTTGGTAGTTAGAAATAATTTGTAGTCTTAAATATTCCAAAGAGTTTTCTTTCGATTCTATGAAAAGTTGAGTTTCCGTCATTACCATGAGTTAGTATTTCCTTTAAACTATTATCGGGAGGACCTATATATAGGGCGAATGGGCACTCCTCATTGTTATCGTCTTTATCAAGTTCAGACAATGATTATAAAGCATAACATTTGAGGTGGTAACAGTCCATTTGTGATCATTAGAACCCCATTAAACTTTCATTACTTCTATAATTCCGAAATAAAATGTCGATAATTGAGCAATAAGAAATCTCATTTTTGGAAAGGGCGCAATTGGAGCTGTTGTCGCTTCGGGCAAGCGTCACGCGATTCCCATGCAATTTGCTTTCAAACTAATCAGTACGAATCACATACCACCGCAGTAAAAAAGAACTACAGCACTTGACAGTTTTGACCCCAGCTTCACCCCCACAAGTCCCGATGACAAAGTAAAAAAATATTCCGTTGGAGGTGTGGATTGAATTTCGATAACATCGACATATATCATGTAGCAAACACTTACAAATTATGGATTTTATCTTTTCCAGGGAATGTCCCTTGTAGATGTTATATGTAGGGGTCGGATGAGAGGAGGGGGGGGGGGGGGGGTGAGGTGGACACAGCCAGTTCGAATATCTGTCGTCGTATCCTAAATTATTATCCTTTTTTATACTTTTTAAAACCTGGTTGGAATTTTGAAATATTTGATGGTCTCTCTCTCCCCGTGGGTAAAGTTTGTCCGACCCCCCCCCTTGTCCTAGCGACGCCTCTAGATGTACATGTCGGTATCGCTAGCACCTTGACGTTACTTGTGATATCTTAATGGCCCTGGGTCATGAACTCCAGACATGTCAACACTTCGAAACTGTACCCCCTACCGTCCATGGCTTATACCTATCTTTATTCTATGAGAGATACTTCATTTTGATTTATATGAAGTCGTTCCACTTTTGATGGGCTGTTGTCGTGACACCGCTCCCTTCAGCTTTTCAACAAAATGTTGCCACATTTTTGTATATGTTTTCCTTTTTTCTCAATCATACAAATTATTTTCCTTCTCCACAACAAACATTAACATTTATACACCGATTTTAATCATGGTAATACATTCAACTGTAAATGATAAGATGGGTAATAAATTAAATAATTACAAAAATATATATTCTAAGATGAATGACAGGCCTTAAGTCTTGGACAATGTGTAATAAATCGCGACTAAAGACGTAACTCGACAACAATTTTGCAACCATTGTTTATAATTCCATCTTAATCACGTGTTTCATACTTAACTTAACATACAATATGTGTTTGGGGCATCTTTGCTTGGGATCAGTTAGCTAGGGTACCGTTTCCTAAAATCAATTTCGATGACTTCCATGGGCATTGAAAGAAACTTTAGACATAATTATCAGGTAGATGTTTCAAATCTTATCATCTCATATCCTATAAAACAAGGAATAATAAGTATCTGAGAGCAACAGATTATCGTTTTGGAAGACGAATAGCAAAAAGCAAAGGAGTGTGTAAGATCTTGTAGCGTTCTATCATCTTCTTTTGTTTATCTTTCATTTTCCTTCCTTCCCTTTTTTCATTCCACATTTCGGCCATTTGATGGGGGGTGGACATGCATACAGTGGCTCCGTATAGGTATATATATAATACATTTGTGTGGCACCAAAAATATGCGTGTAGTGAAGATTCACGACGGTTTATAATATAGAGATAGTACCTTCCATAAGTCAGTGTGATAGACATTCGAATGTGGGTTGACAGGGTATGTCCGTCCGTGCCTACGTCACTGGGCACAATAATTCATAATGATACTCAAAGGACGAAGTGTCGATCTAGTATAATGACGGTAAGATTTTCATGTAGTAAAGATTCCTTACATTTGATGGAGCTAGTACCATGCATGTGTCAGTCATGGGTAAACATTTGGACCCGTGCCTTGCCACCACCCATTCCACGTGCAGACATGCCGAGACTCCCTTGGTCTTACACGACGTTACCGGTAGATGTCAAGAGATCAAGTTTGTCGTCTATATTTACGGCAACACAGGCGTTGCATGCAAAGTTAAGGGTGACAAGGGGCGAGAATAGAATCAGAGTATCAGACACCCCCTCTTTCTCTCTGGCATGTCCCTACGTATACCCATATTGCTGTAATATCATATACATGATATAGGTTGGAAGTAGGTCAGTTTTTCTCACGAGCAAAGTCTCTGCAATTGTAATATCTGTTTTACAAATGGAATGCCGATGTATCATCGTAGTTTTAAAATTTTGTTTAGTTCGTTTTGATTTCAATCATCCATGCATTGATTAAAGCTAGAATACATGGGCTTATTCATGGGACATATTCGCAATATAAGCCATTTCACTCCAATCTGACACATCCTCTGTACACTGCTACGAAGATGTAATTTGGGAGCTCGAAAACAGGGAGGGAGGGGGCGTACAGTGGTCCTGCCCTCTGCTGGATGCATTTGAGGAAAGTAATAATAACATCACAATCAGTTGTACAAATATTCACCGAGAACGCATTGCATTGATGTATTATGTGAAGAAATGCTTAGATCACCGACTGACTAGTAAGAAAACTTGATATCTCAGCATCAATACTTGAAATAATGCAAGATGTAAATGGTGAGGACCTCCGTCACACCGCCGCGCCGGACCGACTCCGAACCGAATACAAACAGACCAATGTTCGGCCATTCGTGGTAATGCAGTTGTTGGTTCGGTTTGTTGTCGGTCTGTTGTCGATATTGTTGATGTGACTGAGTCATTAGTCAACAAGTCACGATTCACTCTATAATATAAGACGGACTGTTTCTAGAGATTTCGATCCACCTCACAGCCTGCCCCACCCAACCCTCTTCCATCTCGAAAAATCTGAGCTCTTGATACGCCCGTGTTTACAATCATCTGTGCTCCACGCCATGGGGGTCAGACATGTCACGCTGCACATGAATGTGTACCTTACGCTCAATAGGTGCACACTTGACGAGGGTAATCACATTTTGATGATAATGACAAGAAAAACATTCTAAAAATAGACTAATCTCGATTATGAAGCATGCATAGGGTTTGTAAGTCACAAAAGTGCACGTTTTCAAATGAATATGGGCATAGGTGAGGTCTTTCACAATCATTACTATAATACAAACATCTAAAGATTTAATCTGTTAATTATTTGTGAGGTAAACACCACTATAGTATTTAGAGCTACAGATGTATGCTGCAAAAATAATAAGGTTTCTCAAAAAGAAGATTTACTGGATGCTTTGGATCTCTTGTTTCTTCAAGGTTTCCTCGATCAATTATTGCTCTGTCGATAAACGAGACTCAGCTAGGGTTTATCATCAGAATGTCCGACGGATATAAAGATACATATTCATTCTAAGACCCCTTTTTTCATTCACAATATTGAACGAAAACTCAAAAGAAGATTTACTGGATGCTTCGGATCTCTTGTTTCTTCAAGGTTTCCTCGATCAATTATTGCTCTGTCGATAAACGAGACTCAGCTAGGGTTATCATCAGAGTATCCGACGGACAGCGTCACTCATCAAAACTATTGTAATATCTTCATCGGGAGGCAAAGACGAAAGCTTATTTTCAATTGAGGAGACATTTCAAGGGGAATCATGGCTTCAAAACGACTTTCAGACGTGATCTCTGAGGCGGATCCAGGGGTCGACATGGATGCACTCCTTCCCGTGTGAAAGAAAATGCACGGAAAACAAGACATTCTCGAGGTAAAATGACGCCCCTCCCATTTTCTGTACCTACAGGGGTTGATGGTATTCTCACGGGAAACATTGTCCCTATCCCACCAGTGACATCGCCTGGAGATGGTCGACGGGATTCCCAACATCATGATCCCTGTGAGAAACTATACTGTGGGGGGGGGGGAATTGTCACTCCCTCCACCCGGACAATCCAGGCTACGCCCCTGATGTGGTATCGTGGAAGATGAGAAAGATCTTATAGATCTACATGGATCTTCGTGCGACAAGGAGGACTTTTCTCGAGACGATAAAATGTTGGGTAAACTTAACGTTGCCCACATTGCAATGCGGTCATTGCCATACCTGGTTTGTAAAACCCTGCAATGGCAACCCCTGTGTCATATGACATTCCCACGTCTTTTGCTCGGTGGTGTCAAATACCAGGGGCGCTGGCCCGATATTGGTTTGTAGGGGCTAGGATTTGTTCGGGTGGTCATAGATCAATTGAGAAATTATAGGGGAAAGTGTTGTGCTTCTTGAAGTAACTTGTACAGGATTCAGGAACAGTTGAAGAATATTATATAGGCCTACATCTTCACTTCTTTATTTTTTTTGGGGAAGCTTGGTTCTTGCATTCATTTTAAACATGTGCCCTGCGATTTTTGGGGGGAGCTTGAAAACATTCGGGCGCTCCTCCTACAAATAATACTACTTCTTGTACTACTTATACCTGCTGGATCATCAAAATACTTTTTTAAAAGGAAAAGGTCGTAATGGAGTTC